ATATATTTAATAATTTTTGTATCTGCTTATTTTGTTTTTTAAATTAACTTTTTATGTATTTTTACTACAATATATATATATATATATATTCTGTTTTTGTGTATTATGCTCACATGTGTAACTTTATACATACATATATATATGTGTGTGTGAGCATATGTATATTTTCTGTTTTTGGTGTATTATGCCAACACATACTAGTGCATATATGGAAGTATGTTTGTTTTGTTAGGTGTTATGCATCTATTGTTTGGTTTTTTGGGGCTTATGCAGCGACTGCTTCGAGGCGTACCTAATGGAAAAACGCCTCGAGGCTCGTTTCCATTCTTTAAAACCTAGAGTTTATATCAAAAACTTTTGGCAAGTATGGTGATAGAACTCTTCATCCAGACTATCAATTCCATGGTCTATTCTTGCAAGAATCAAGCAGCATCAACATGTTATTTAACTTTAATGTTGCAGCAAATTGTCCAAAAACAGCCTGAGCTACTAGATCTCTAGAAGTATATTAGACATTCAGATGATCTCACTCCATCCCCTGTAGTAAATAAATTATGACATCTAGCAACAATGATGTGGATTTGCAAGAGATGAGTGATGATGCAGCATAAAAGCAACTAGCAACAACATGACAACACCAGATCTAAAATCACAATGGCATGATAAACTCCCAAGAGTCCAAAAACCCAACCCTACCCAAAAGTGTACTCACATTTGCTGGGTTCCAAAGAAGAAGACTAGAACTTTTTTCCAATCAGCAGAGTACCCCCACTTTTCCGGTTCACTCACCTGCAACCATCATATAGATTTAAGTAAGCACAAGCTTCATACTACCAATGTCTTTGAGAAATAGCTACAAGACACGAAGCATATCAATTTGCGGATTATTCTACAAAGCATACTAAACCTAGTAGCAGGCAAAATACCAAATCACAGCGAGTACTGTGATTTGAAATAGCGGTTATCGTAGTGGTAAAACGGTGGTCGGTTCATATAAATATTTAGAATTATATCATATATATATATATATATGTATGTATATATCATAAAATATAAATCACCTAACATATTATGTGTAATCAATATAAAAAAGAAATTCACTAATAGACTAGTAGTCCCAAGAAAGAAATTCACTAATAGACTTAGAATGATGTTGGAAGGATTAAGGAAACGTGGTTGAATGCTTCAATGATGTTGAAAACCTAAATCTTATTTATAATCTTTGACAGGTAAAGATAAATAGATATATTAAATGGTTTAAATCATCAAAAAATAAGTCCAAGTCCAAAATAAATGCCCAAATCATTTAAATAGGTGTAATATAAGTTGGTTAGACGGAAAAAAAAAGAGCCCAACCACAAACAGCAGTCATGCGGACTGCTATATTTGTAAAAAGCAGCCATTTAGCGGAAATTGCACCGCAATTCTGGCATCGCTATTTAGGACCGCTATTTAACCACCGCAATCTCTTCCACGACCGGGAACCCTATTGCACTGCTATTAACAGCATACTACTCCCTTTTAAGCCATTACAAAGAAACCTAAGCTTTATTGTTGATGTCAACTAGCACTACTGCAAACATTAAAAAAAATGGAAATGGGTGATCCAGACTTCGCCAAGACTAATCCCATGGGAAGTCGCAACTGTAGGCTTCACCCACAGCCTTGAGGTAACTCTCCCAGTGGCTACAAGCACATACGTAGATGGCAGGATTCGACCCGGGTTGATTTTATCATCTTTGTCTTTATCCACCACACTACCACCCTTGTGGTAAAAGATATTGGTTTTGTTGCAAACCTAAACATATTTGGCCTTCTGATCTCACAATATATCAAACCACATAGTTTGAATCTAAGAGTAGGTCTTTGACATCCAAAGAGAATATCGAGCCGATAATCATCACCCAAAAGGCCAGAACAAAATATAAAGTAGTGCATTATCAACATCTCACTCAGATCAACAGAAAAACAAAAATATAAACGCATATCACTAACGATTCAAATTAAGTACATATATGTTCAACTTACGGATCAGTACGACAAACCCTAAGTCAATACGCAATCAACACACTTCAACTACACAAGTTTCCAAAAGTAAAAGAAATCGGCTAACATACCGTAGCAGGCCAAGCAGGGAACCCTTTCACCTTGGCAAGAACAAGATCGCCAACCTTCCACTGCCGACAAGCGGCGGCGGCTGCGGCGGCTTTACTGGCACCTTTTCTCCGACTCGGCGCCATCGAAACACGAGTAAAAGAAACCTAACCTACTGCCCCCAATCAATCAAATCAAAATCATGCGGTATTACGAAACCAAGAGCAACGAACTTATCGCTAATATTCCACTGTAACGGCTGCGAAATCGCCCGCCCCAAAGCAAGCGGCTTCGAACTCTCTAGGGTTTTCTAGCTACCAAATAGAGAAACAGCATACAGGCATTGAAAGATCAATTGGCAACAAAAATGAGGATTGTACACAGAATTTGTAAATAAAAACCAAACTTTCAACATAAGATTACGATTATCAAAAAGAAGTGATGCAGAACACCAAAAAACACCCTAAATTTTCGACTGTCACTGTGTGTTAGATGATGAAACCCTAAAATCTCCAAAGAGGAAGAGAAGGGGCTTTGTGTGGGTTCTGTGGAAGAGGGGGATTTACTTACGGAAGGAAACAGATATGAATTTGGTTAAAAGATGGGTTAGTGCTAATGTGCACCGGGGTGCGTACTTTTATGGAATAAAAGGGTGCGTGGCCTGTGCTAACGTGAGCGGCGTTGGTATGGATACGGGTGCAAGCAGCACGTGGCCTACCGACTCGTCATCGGTCATTCATAATGATGATGGACTGATGATAAAATGCGCGGTCCGGAAAGATTCGCGTGGGCCTAGTGGGCCTGGTCTTATAATGGGCCGCTTAATCTGGCCTTTACTTTAAGCCCACTATCATGGCCCATTAAAATTAGGGGTACAAAGGTCAAATAGCATCTTCTACCGATCGGTAAAAGTTTTTTCTTACCGCAAAGCCTTTTGAGAATGTTTTCATCGTTAAATCCAAAAGGTGAGTCTCTAAAGCCACTACGACCTGGGCTCTCAGTCACGTCCTCGTGTCAGGAACCAAAGCTAGATCTCCATACGGGATATTGCATGTTTAGCAGCAAGAAAGATGATTGAAATTCAGTTAACTTCTCTCAGTTGACGATGGTCTGCCTCCCAATGTCGATTGACAGGTAGCAGCTCTAACTTCACTACTTGGGTCTTCATCTCTTGACCTTTTTCTCTGAAGTAAACATGGGTTAGGCTAGACTTGATTAGGTGGGGGTGACGATGAACATATTTGATTGGGTTCTGTTATGGCTGGCCATTAAGTTGCTCGTTTCTCTCCAACATGTCGGTAAAGATGTGTTTTGTCAGAAAGACCACTGCGTATAACATGTATTCATCGTTGGCAAAATCTTGTGTTTGTATATATTTTTTGTGTTTTTATTTTTAGTGTGTGGATGGAGTTAAATGGGTTTTAGTGTGTATGAATCCACGTTTTAGTGTATTTTTAGTGGCGTGTAAGGGTGTTCAAAATACCACACTGCCCGTATAAACCGCTCGCATCAACCAAATTGTACAGTTTAAAACTTTTGCAGTACGGTTTGAGGTTTATTTTGTTATATTGCATTACGTGTTTTATTTTGAGGTTTTGAATTACTCAAATCGCAGTTCAAACTGTACAGTGTAACATCTTACAGTACCATAAATGTTCGATATCAAATCACATACACAAAAAACAAATACTAATAATGAAGTATTTCAAAAAAATTATAAACGATAATTATTATAAATATTATCTTGTAACATAAACAGATAGACAATTTCATATGAATATCAGTCCACTAAATATTTATCTAAACCCTAAAATACGAACATGTGCAGTGATGTTGTTCGATTATTTAAAATCTAGATGGGAAAATAAAATGTATATTTAGGGACCGTTTATCAAACGCTTACTCAGGTAAGTGAACACCAAATCACATTACTTTAACAAATGAATATGGTAAGGACCAAAAATTTTACCCGGTAAGAGCGAGACAAAGACCAAGTGTCTTACCCTGTAAGTGAGGGCAACGACTCTTACCACGGTAAACGCCTACCGGGTAAATTGTTGCATACAATACCGTTTCAGTGGTCTAAAATCTTACCTGATAAGTAAATAATGGTGTTAAATTTTACATGTAGGCACTTACCGGGTAAGTGTTTGGTAAACGACTCATTACATTATTCCCAATCTTATTTAGTGCATAGTAAACATGTAAACTCATAACGTCTTATTCAACATCTTTTAAAGTGATTAATGGCTTATTTACACCTACAATTACTTCATAAAACCGACTTTCGTAGATTATTCACTTTAACAAAACGAAAATGGCGAACACAACCCCGTTCTTCTCGCTAGCCATTTTGACCATCTCCTTTGTCATGGTTCTACAATTCAGCAATGCCACACCGACACTCACCGACACCACCATCAACATTGTAAATCCCTTTTGCAACATTGCAGAAAACAAAACACTGTGTACTTCAATTGTCAACGGAACCAAGACTTGGCGGTCAGCAACCACCTATGCTATATCTGAAACCCTAAAAATAGCAAAGCAAGGGAAGCCGATATTTGATGATCTCGTGAAAATACTCCATGACAGTAGCATATCAAGGATCTCAAAAGAATCGACTAGACAGACTTGTAATGAGATTTACGATTTTGCCATCGAATGTCTACAAGGAGCTCTGGACGACCTTAGGCACGGGTACCTAGACCGTTTGGCTACAAAACTTTCGTCCGTCACTGGACCATCCTCAAAGTGCACTACTTTGGTTAGTAAGGTGGGTATGGATTTGCAAGTGTCTAATTTTTTTTCAAAGCTGGCGTTGTATTCTAGAATTTGCTTGTCCATTGCAAAAACCATCTAACCGAAATAAAGTTTTGATGATATAATTCATGTTTGATGATAATACGACTGATTTTGGTCATCGCGTATCTGTCTGTTTGTCATTATTAGTGTATTTTATTTAGCTGTTATGACTAATGTTACATTCCGTCACGGTCTGTAAACATATATGTTTATGTAGTTTTTCATTATATGTTTTGGCCTTTTTTTGTTTTTATTTATAAAATTAAAAAAATATTTTTTCTTTTAAAAACCATAAAAAATACACCTTATTTTCGTCTTCAGCATGTAGTTCGGTTGACAAAAGGGGGGCGTCGACTTTGCTCAAATACAAGACAAGACGGGTTCGATCCAGACCTGCCAACTAGCCTCAACATTTAAGTGAGCCAAAAATGCCCCCCTATTGTTCTTCAAGATGGGTTATGTGCGGGGCTAATTCAGGTTGCCGATAAGCAACTTTTACCCCAAATATACCTTGTTTTTTGTAACCAAAATGTATGTATGTACACATATACTAGTTGTATTTTGGTAATTTATCGCTACCCTATTATAATTAAAAATTATATTTAATGAAATAAACAAGAAATTATAATCATATTAAAATAAACGCATGGTCAAACATGATTAAATTACATTACAATTCGTTCAAATTCCAATTCCAACAGATTCCGTTATGTAAATCAAAACCACCATATATTTTAAATATTTGAGGTCGAGGTCTGGTATGAGAGGTACCCCCATCATCAACTAACAAACTCGAGGATTCCCAATTAACTCAAGGATACTTCGGTCAAACCAGGTCATAGTACCAATTTTCAGTCAGTCACGTAGATGATTAGAATCTATGGATTCGTTAGGAATCAATAGTCGTTGGCTGGACATAATGCGATGGGATATATAAGAGAAGAAGACGAAATGAGGGGTACAACCTCCAATTTATTTTTCCCCTGTGTCGATAGCTGGACTCAACCAATTCAACACATAACAGAAAGAGGAATTAGAAAGCGTCACGATATAATACCATTTCTGGTATTTGAACCATTGACGTATCCATGTCAGAGACCTAAACAATTGGAAAAAAGCCATGCACCCCATCCTTGGTTCGAGACAAACGAGGAACCCCGTCTCCGATGGGTCAAGACCCGTTCCCATGCCTATGTTAAACGTGATTTATGAGTGAGTGATTTTGAAATTAAGGGGCGTTTGGGATTGCTTATTTGAAACAACTTATGTTTTTCTTTAAAAACACTTATCAACTTATTATAAGTCAGTAGGCTTTAAATTCTTCAAAAACTCCTTATTACCGGTTTGACACCGGTATAAGTTGTTTATCCAAACACTCCAAAATGCTTATTTTTAATATTATACCGAAATAAATCAATAAGTTGTTTTTACTAGCAATCGGTAACGTCTCTCGATGTCACAAAATTCCCTAAAATATTTGGATCAAGATCAACCCCGAAAAAGAGCTGCGGGGAGAATTGGAATTGGGGCTGATCTTCGATAGAAATCGGTGGATTTCTCCTCCTCAGAAATGATCGATCATCCATTTCTTCTTCAAAATACATCTAAATTTCAAAAATGGGTGCAACTTCATCTATCGCTGGCAAATCATCAGTTCATGATTTTACAGTGAAGGTATTTATTTCCACCCTTTTTTTAATCCATTATCATCATAACCATCAAACGATTCGATTTTCGAATTTCTTTAATCCACATTCATTCGATTTTGAAATGCAGGATTCCAGAGGAAAAGACGTGGATCTCAGCATATATAAAGGAAAAGTCCTGCTTATCGTCAATGTTGCTTCCAAATGGTTGTTTCTCGTATTATCCTTATCGTATTTACATAATGTGTCTTTTAAGCTTGGATTTACTCAGTTTAGGGTTTGAATTTCGTGTTCAAACGATGTTGTTTTTGTGATCGAACATTTGCTTTGTGATAATTCAGCTTCGAATCTTCGATTACTCTAGTTTAGGGTTTTGATTGTTTCAATTTCGTGTTCAAACGATGTTGTTTTTGTGATCAAACATTTGCTTTGTGATAATTCAGCTTCGAATCTTCGATTACTCTAGTTTAGGGTTTTGATTGTTTCAATTTCGTGTTCAAACGGTGTTGTTTTTTCTGATCGAACATTTGTTTGGTGTTAATTTAGCTTCGATTTACTTAGTTTAGGGTTTTGATTGCTGAATTTTGTGTTCAATAAGCTAAAACGTTTCTGATCAAACATTTGTTTTTATGATAATGTGACAGCGGATTAACGAATTCAAATTACACCCAACTTACTGAGCTCTACAGGAAATACAGGGATAAAGGTATCAACTCTTCCATAATTTTGACTATTGTTTCTTTTTAAAGTATCTAAGACGTTTCATTTGCAAACCGTTCCATTCTAACAAATCATACAAACCAATCTCTGTCATCATGGAACCATGATCACAATGAATGAACCTTATCAACTTTCATATATATATAGAGAGAGAGAGACTGAGGATCACGTGAGACCAGCCTGTTTTCATGAGATCCGTGAGAATTTTTTTACACTTGAAACTTCACAGCCTTCATAGCGTTTTGCTAAGAAGTTTCAAGTGTAAAAAAGTGGTCTCACGGATCTCACGTGAACTCAACCTTATATGATATATAATTTGTCCAAAAATATCTCTATTGTTTCCTAATACAAGCATTGATTATGGTTTATATAGTTTTGTTAGAATTAAATGGTTTGTAAATGAAACAACCTGTATACGTCAAATAAAACAAATGAATGATTCTAGCATTTAACAAGCTACTCGAGATTGAATTTGTTTATCTCGAGTTGGAGACTTAACGAGTCAAGTTTCATAACATTAATGTTTAACTTTGTTAGTTCGAAAGTTTGATCGAGTTTTGAGTCAAGCCGAGCTTTACATGCCTACACTTTTTTCGATCAATAGAGAGGAAGGAAAGTCCATGCAAAGACTTTGTTAGCTTGCTATCTCCATATGTTCATAAAAATACGAGCACAATGTCGAGCTTGAGACAACAAACGAGCTTGAGACACTTGCTATAAGAGAAAACGTAATTTTGGGAATACAAAGTCATCCATGTTAACACTATTTATCGCGTGGGTTATGTTAAATACTAGTCATCTAGTTCTATAAATGCATCGTGTGTGTTTTGGTGTCTAGGTGGTAGGGGTCAGGTTATTGATGTGAGATGGGTCGAGAGTTCTAAGACAATAAGCTGTAAAAGGACACGTGTATATATTTGATAGAAATGTGATATCGAAGTAGGCAATGAAGTAGCCAAAAGACATGGAAATAAGGGTATCATTTCAAATCTTTTGCCTAGAGAAGATATGCCTTATTTGTAACTGTTCGGGTTGCAAAATAATCAAATGCGTTTGGCAAATACAGACCATATTCTCGATTATTTAACCTCTATATCCATTAGAACATTCTTCTCTCTTCAATGACTCTTTTTAGAAAGTAACCTGGAGGGGTTTCACACGTCTAACATGATATTGTAGTCGGGCTCTGCTCTACCACCTCTAAAGACTCGAGACTCAAACCTATCTCCGTCTATGGAGGGGGTGTTGGGATCCGATGCTAGACACAAACTCTTTAAACTTCTATATATTTTGGAATCTCCTTTTTCTTTGCAGAGGCTCTTAGAATAATTTGCAGGGGTTCCGTACTTCCGTATACCTCAGATATAAAGCACCATAACCTGAAGGCTTGTGCACTTGGTATTTAGAGGGAACTGGACTTGATTTGATGGAACTGGACGGCAAGAGTGAGGTGGGTAGGTGAAAAAATTGTGAAAGGTTTTAGGGTTTTAATTTGACATGAGTAATTTAGTAATTTACCAATCTTGTTCCACCTCCCTAACCTTTGTACCACTTATTTTGATTGGACACCCACTCAGCCCTGTCTTGCCCCAATCTTATGTCGTACCGAACATAACAATAAGTTTTTGCTTTGTTCTGTCTTGTCCTACATACCAAACTCACGTTATTTGTTTCAATGGAGTAAGTTTCAAATCATGAGTTAGAAAACTTGAAGCAGGTTTTGAGATACTAGCATTCCCATGCAATCAATTTATGAATCAAGAACCGGGGCCGGTAGAAGAGACCGTCCAGTTTGTCTGTGAGAGGTTCAGCGCTGAATACCCAATTTTTGCAAAAGTAAACGTTTCATTCATTTTCATCTTTACGTCATGGGTTCCGTCCTAGGATTTGCTTACATATGTTTAATGAATCAGGTAAAAGTGAATGGCAAGGATAGCGAGCCGTTGTATGAGTACTTGAAAGCAAATGGAGGTGGATTTATGGGGACTGCTATCAAATGGAACTTCACAAAGTTTCTAATCAGTAAGAAAGGCAAAGTAATACGTCGAATAGGTTCAAGAGTTGAACCATCAACCATTGAGGTACGTTTATGTGTTACTCCCTCTGTCTAATAGTAAATGTCCACGTTGAAAAAGATAGGTTTAGAAATGTGTAATTATTAGAGCATCTCCAACATATTCTCCGAAACATAGAGAAGTGGGATTTTGGAGATTTTTCCCTACTTTTTTGCTCCACCAAATCTCCCAAAAGTTTCTCCAAAATGGAGAAAATAGGAAAGAGAATGCTTAAAGATCTCCAAATTTGAAGTTAATTGTATCATCATTTTAAATAATATTTATTTGATATTCTATTGGGATATTCTGAACCTATTGAATCATTTTGGTAATATAATTAATGTCACAATCTTCGAAAGGGAGAAATTATTACAGTTGAATGTGATTCTTTTATTAAAGATTTTGACTTTTGGTTCTCTATTTTGGAGATGCTCTTATACTTTTTAATCAACCAAACAATTTTACCATGAATAATGGTGAGATTCATGAATTGAAAATAGTCACTTAAAGGGCTGTTTACCAAACCCTTACAGGGTAAATGCTTATCGGGCGTCACTTACCTTACCGAGTGAGCTTGGCAATGACCAAGAATCTTACCTGGTAATAGACATAGCAAGGACCAAGAGTTTTACTCGGTAAACACCTTACCGGATAAAAGATGTTTACCAACAATCCATTTTGATAGCCAAGAATGCTATGCGACAATGTAAGTGAAAGTGGTGACTTTTGTCGGTAAGTGCTTACCCAGTAAGCGTTTGGTAAATGGCCCTTACCTTATCAAATGACATTCTTGTCCATCAAAAAAGATTGTTGGTAAGCTGTCTTTTACCGGGTCTCAGTCTTCTCGCTCATTTGCCGGGTAAGATTTTATGCCCTTGTCATGCTCACCCGATAAGGTAAGTGACTCCTGGTAAGCGCTTGGTAAACGACCCCTTACTTTTGGAAGTGGATACTTATTTTACAACAATCTACAATAGAAATGGAACCAGTTATTTTGAGACAGAGGAAACATATGCAAATAGGAAATGGAGTCTACATTATCATGGTATATGATTTGTTGCACTTTTCTGATGCAGGCTGACATCCAGAAAGCTTTGGAAGAGCCCTAATGAAAACCAGCTGATATCATAGGATTCAACATTTAGACCATTTGTCATCTGGTTTTGGTATTAAGAAGATGAATGAATGGTTTGGTGAGATTCCATGTTCAAGTAAGTTTGATTCATCTGTAAATTCAATTTTGTTGCTCCAATAGAAAAGGTTTTTTCTGATCATGCTACATAAACGCTTATTTGGTTTGAACCCCAGGCCCCAGCACGCGTATCTTGTCGGAATATTTGTATGATTGTGTCCAATCTTTCTGAATTACGACGATGACGAAACAACTACTAACTTAGCAAATATAGTCGTAAGGGTGTAAACAAGTTGAGCGTAATAATTCTTGAGGTCGAGTCAATCTCGAACACAAAATAAAACTCGTTTAACTTAATGAGTTGAGCTTCATAAAACCAATGTTCGATTCGGCCAGTTTGAGAGCTCGATTAAATTTTCCGAGTCAAGTCGAGCCATTTGAGCATATTCTTTTTCGAGCCAAACATGCTCATATGTTCATAAACAATACAATAACAATATAAAGCTATAAACCTTGAGCCAATAGATGAGTTAATTGATCGCGAGTATGAGCCTGTAAACGAGCATCGAGCTCGAGCTCAAGCATGTTATAATTTTTTCGAGACTAGCTTGAATAACCTACTAATCGACTCGGCACGACTCTTTACACCCCTATATAGTCGTCATGGTGTCAGGGGTGGATCCACTATGGTGCATGGCACGGGCCAGCGCTTTGTTCCTCCCTCGTAGTATAAAATTTTATGGGTTGTAAAAGGTGTAATTATTATTTTGTTGGATGCAACCATATATTCCTTGAAACTACAATAAGAACACAAATTTCTCTTGGTATAGTTGGCTTACATGTTCTTTTCTCCACTTCGAAGCACTGGTTTGAATCCCGTTTGTGCATTTTCTTTGTTTTTAGGTTTTAATTTCAGGTTTATTTATACTTATGAAAAAATTGGGAGAAAAAACTTGAACTCAAAATCTCACATACAAAAAGCAAGAAACTAACCAAGAGACCAATGATGATTTCGTAAAACAAATCGATAATTTCTTATTTTATAGTCAAATGGTGCCATCAATTGAGGTTAGTCTCCATCTTATATTGGAGAAACAAACGACCACAATTGTAAAACATGGATCATATACAGAGGCCAATAGGAAATATCGTAAGACCTATATGCCTAAGGTTTTCATAGCTGTTGAGAGTTGCAAGCCAATGACCTTCGATAGGAGTACTTAAGACGGGGGACTAAGGTAGCAGGTTGGATTTGGGGATGGTAGCTAGGTAGAGTAGTTGGACAGGTTGCTGATAGAGGGCCGACGCTCGTAGCTTTGCAGGTGTTTTTGGATTTGCTTGTTCTGTGTGTGGGTGCATTTTCCCTTTTCTATGTTTTAATGCATCTACTCATTATTTTTGTTTTCCGTGATTCTTTCCATCATATCATATCCTAGGAATTGTGACAGTTGTTGAATAATTAAGAGACTCTTATGATGTAGTACAAAATAAAATATAATTGTTTGGTAATTATTCAACATAAAATTAGGACGGTTAATGGTTAAAGGAGACTCAAGATACAAAATCGTTCAGAGAGTTTTAGAACCATTAAGAGACATTTTTTTTTTTGCCAAACAAGATTCACTTCTTCGCAATTCAAAAGTTGTCTCTTAATGGAACTATTAAGAGATAAACAATTCAAATGTTGTCTCTTAATGGAATTATTAAGTTATAAACAACCAGCCTCCATCTATTTTCTCACATTCTTGCATAAGTTGGGAGACTTCACATAAGCAACTGTTCTAACCTGTTGGAGGTAGAGATAAGGCCTTCGTATATCTCACTTCCTCATATCCTACTTTCAAGTGGGATCAATTGGATCAAAGTATTAGATAAATCCAATCTAATCCAATAAATAAGTTCTATTTACTCAACAAATTTCCCCTCCTCTTTTGTAGCGGTCTGCACCCACGTGACTAGAGGGACTGGAAAATTAATAGAGTACAAAACTTATCTTCAAGCGATACCTTGTAGACTCCTTGGCAGATCATGCCATGAATGTGCAATAGCAATATATGATGGATGGAGTCGGATGACAAAATCCAAATTCAATGTATGATTTGATTGGATTGGATCCACCTAAATTTAGATTTCAACCAATGAACACCCCTGCCCTGGCTTTTGAAGAAGTTTTGTAGCAACAAGCAGGTAGTAGGAAGAGCAAAACCAAACCATACTAGCCTTTTATAACCGTAAAACCAAGCCATACTAGCCATGGTTGACAAGATCTGGCCATAAAGCCAAGCCATACTAGCCATGGTTGAAAAGATCTGACCACAAAACCAAACCATCCTAGCCAAACAAGCAGGTAGAGGGAAGAGCAAAACCAAACCATACTAGCTTCTTCTAACCGTAAAACCAAGCCATACTAGCCATGGTTGACAAGATCTGACCATAAAACTAAGCAATATTATCCATGGTTGAAAAGATCTAATCGTAAAACCAGACCATCCTAGCCAGGGTTTGAAAAGATCTGACCATAAAACCAAGCCATAACTAGCCAGGGTTGAAAAGATCCGACAGTAAATCCAAACCATCCTAGCCAGGGTTGAAAAGATCCGACCGTAAAACCAAACCATCCTAGCCAGGGTTGAAAAGATCCGACCGTAAAACCAAACCATCCTAGCCAGGGTTGAAAAGTTCTGACCATAAAACCAAAACATACTAGCCCTGTTCTAACCGTAAAACCAAGCCATATCTAGCCAGGGTTGAAAAGATCTACGCAAAATCAAACCATCCTAGCCAGGGTTGAAAAGATCCGACCGTAAAACCAAACAACAACTAGCCAGGGTTGAAAAGATCCGACCGTAAAACCAAACCATCGTAGCCAGGGTTAAAAGATCTAACCGTAAAACAAAACCATACCAGCTCGTCCCGATTCGAGCATGGTAGGAAGAGCAAAAGAAGAGAGTATGCCAACACTTTTCTTCTTACAATGGCTTTCTTTCCTCTTCTCTGCAAGGTGCTTAAGATGAAACTGGAAGGTTAAAAATAATCAAGAAATTGAATTTTATTTCTAACGGTAAAAAATAATCAAGAAAACCCGTCTTTTATTTATTTATTTACACGTCTCTAAAAACCACAACAACGAAAAAAGTGGTACCTAACAAAAGACATTGAAAACAGACCCTAGAAGAGTACAAAAAGCAACTGGTTACCGTCCTGCTTCCTTCCTGTATTCTCCAAAACACGGCAACACTGATGGATCCTGTAAAACCTAATTAGCAAAAATAGAAACAGGAAAAACTGTTTTTTCGTTTTTTTTTACCTATTTAGCTTTCCGCCCTTCGTGTAAACGGTCACAACCCTGGCAATAAAATTTTGCATGGTAAAGGGAGAATAGATTGTTATTCTAAGTAGCTATCTACTTCTACTACCACCGAGAAAGGCTCCAACTGTAGCGTCCCAGATTTAACCGATCAACGCTGGTGGTTTGTCCTTGTCTTCTTTGACTCCCTGGTAAATTTTAACAACAGATTAATTTGACAATTCACTTGCACCGTACAAACTAAACAAACCCAGGATACATAAAAAAAACGTAGGAAACCCAGGATACATCAAAAAAACGTAGGGTCTGGGGAATATAGGATGTAGATGTACACAGTGAAAACAGGAAATACTAAAGCTGACTAATAGTTGAGGGTCACGGATGCATAAATAAGATGTGAAAGGGAGGAAAGACTAACACCGCTTCTTTCTAACGTAGGACTTTGGTGCCCCCTGGCCACCCGTCCTCCTTGCCTACCTTCTATCAACTCTAAACTCCCTCCCTCCCGTTTATGTTAGCTACACCCCCCTTTCACATAGTCTGCCACCCTAGTCCTACGTTTCCGAGAGTTCCTATCAGAGATTGATTTAACAATCAGTACTTTCTCTGTGCCCAGAAAATGAGACGTGCTACTTTGCAACCTGCATTTGTAGTGAATTCTAAACGTTTTGAGTTTGATAAGTCGTTGATTTTGATGACAGAAAGTCCAATTGTACCTTTTTTATCGAACATATCATTCGTGAATTAAAACTATGGACAGGCCAAATCATCGAAACGAGTATGGAACTAATTTGCACCTTGCATTATGCTACAACTTCGTGGATGACTTCTACAATAGTCAGGACTCAGAATGGTAGTTTTTTTCAGTTTTATCTACTGGATTTCTTTCTTATAATAAGACCCATACTTTCTTCTATGTTATGTCCTAATGTAATTAAATAATTTCAAGATAACAATCACCAAACATCGTAGCAACGGCCATGGATATAGGCAAATTGTGGAACAAAGCAAAAATTGGCTTAAGTTTTCCGTTTCCTACAGTTTACTACTGTGTGTTTGTGGGTGTTGATCCAAAGACAGGTGTTTGAATGCAACTCGATCGATCCATATATGCAAGTATATGTTTGTTTATAGTAAGATGGATCTTTAGTCAGAAGTCTGTAAGATTTAGCTTGTAAACTACTTCCTGAAGCTGAAATATACCTTTGTAAACGTAAACAAGATTGAATGAGCAATTTATCTACCAATTTGCATTTTACCAGATAGGCTAGGTTCCAGTGGAATCAGCTTTTTTTTTTCGTGAGAACGTGAGATAAAAGTGAAGGTAGTGTGAACTGTGAAGGTGGTTTGTCGTGACGAACATGAAGATACCTTTATATTGTGTAATGTAACATTTTGTAACACATTTGAAGACGATGTTAGAGCTACAATCTTCACGCAATATAGAAGTATCTTCACTTGTTCACACCATCTCAAGAAAGTGAAAATTTCTCAAGTGATCCTAACTGTTACGATATGTATATCACAAAATTAATGAAGATGGTGCCAAAAATGATTTGACGTACTGTGGGTCTTTGAGCGGCTAGCCTTCTGGTTGAGGGAGTGCGGGCAACAAATGAAGCAGCAGCTGCTGCAGCAGCTACACGTATTCTGCAACGGTTCATTAAGCACTTTTTAGTGAACTGGAAGAACCGAGTTAGATTGACTTAAAAAATATCATAAAACGAGGGGATAAAATACACACACCTTTTATGTACATCTACATATACATCAGTTTCGTCAACAATTTCCTCCTGCATCAGATACGGAAACAATTTAGCACCTTGGTCAGAAAACGTGGATCAAGTTGTGACAAAGGTTAACATGATATAGGCTATGTTTGGCAAACCAACTTATAAACTAGATGACAATGTAAAATAACCTAAAAGAACATGTTGAAAAATTACTCAATTCTAACATAAGTGGCATAATGGGAAAAAAGTGAAAAAAAATCCTGTTGTACTTATTGAAAACCTATCTGAAATAGCTTTTCAAAAACCTAGTTGTGTGGTTGTTTACCATTAAGTCTTGTGCAAATTAATCTGTCTGTATAGATTGAAAAGGTTTTTTTTATGATGGTTTTTTCATAGATGGAAGGAACATGTTTTTAATTGGGAGGGGCAGGTTTGGAAAAACTTGGCTTTCTGCATAAATTTCCCCCTAAAAGTTTACTGAATAAACCACTTTCTATATCATTAAGCCACAACCAAACGGTCATGTATAGCTGAGTAAGCTGTGAGTCTCGTTAAGGTACTAACAAACAGGCCCAATATGGCTTACCAAATAGGGTTATTTAATAAGCTTATAGTTGCCAAACATTGCCATAATTAAGAAAAAGAGCCAGTAAGTTACTTGTAGAAGCTCTTCAAAAACGTCTTCCAGGGTGATGATGCCAATGACTTCTCCATCTTCAAGATCTTCAGCCGTACATGTTAAACTTTTTGTTATGCCACCAGTATGTTGCACGGTCGGCTTCAAAGTCTTCTCAACATTGACCACAAAATCTAATTCTTCTTCAAGCTTGGGCAACAATGGTTTAGTTAGTTGTGAATGTCCAGTTTCATTTTTCTCAACTAATTTCCGATCACGGACATCAGCAGGCAGAGGCTCCTTGCTTTTGACTTTAACTACGGCTGCCATATGACTGCTACCTTTCTGAAACTCATTAAGGATGTCGTACAATGGCAAATCTGCTGGAACCCTGGAAGATAAAAATAAAATAATATAAAATAAGGCCTAAGGGGGGGTTAATCACTTTAATAACCATTTCAAGGGGGGGTCACAAATAGCCAACTTTTCCAGATTTGCTCGCAAAATGGTTTTCCGGATTCCTTTTTTTGTGAGATGCAATTTTCCGGCTTATCCGTACAAATCTCGACTATTTTATTGGGTAAAAGTACAGTAAGTACTTAGGGTTTGCGAGCTCCTTAGTTTACCAGATGACAAATGACTGTTTTCTAATAGGGACCAACCAATAATGCCATCTCGCAAAAAAATGTTTCGTGGCTATTTTGTAGCAAACCTGAAAAAGTTGGCTATTTTATGATGGTCGCGCTCTCCAAAACGGCAAATTTAGTGAATAGTGATTAACCCAGGCCTAAAGTACCCAAATACAAACTTGCCTGGGGATTTTCCTAATGGAAACAGCGCTAACTGGAGTCTCTGTTTCTGCCCTAACTGTAAGAAGGCTTTTCACCTATTAGGTGAAAATAGGAAGGAAACCCCACTTTACATAACATGATGCTAATATATGTCGTTGAAATAGAAAAGTCGAAACACAATGCAGATTTTCAAAGCATACCAGTAGGAGTCCGATAATGTTCTTGGGATTCCCAGAATAGACAGGAACACGGCTATGGCCTTTGGCAAGAATTTTCCCAATTGCTTCCCTACACCAAGCACACGAAAACTGATAAGAGCGCAAACTTTCTAATGTGCCCGTAGTAATCAAATATCGCCAGAACGAGAGAACACAAACAAAGGTGAAGAAATAGCTTCCTGGTGTTAGAGGCAACTATTATATGGTAATTGGTATGTATTATAACTGAAGAAAACCTGTTCTACATTTTGAAATTTGCAAACTGGCTTCCTAAAGTCAAAATAAATTTTAGAGGGGTGATATTTATATAATCCGAAGTTGAACCTAAATCAACTGTAATGCCTACCAAGGTGAAAAAACTAGAGACAGGGAGAGTGAAGGACATAGCAAAAAGAGGTACTACCCTAGAAATATCCCTGGTTCTTTTTCAGTCATAGCTGGAGAAGACATATCTTATTATTCAGCCTACATGATTAAAATATAATAAATATTGGGTGAATATCATATAAATCACTAATCCTTGCATACAGGAGCCTATAGCTTTCTTAGTTCACTATGTTGACTAATAACAGTCGGAAAGAACAAGAAGCATGAAAGACCCAGTGGTGGAACTCACCAGTCCAATTTTGAATTGACATCCAGAGAGAATGTTGACTCAATAGGTGTCATGGCCTCCTCTGCAGTCTGCATAAATTCCCATATGGTATATCAATATCCTCATTTTACATAGTGGGCAACTACAACCAAGCAAAACAACTTTTTAGGGTCTTATGGTAGTACTCATTCATGTTGTCACATTTTTGCTAACCAGGCTCCATGTTAAGTGTCATTCGAGTTGAAATCTTCTCATAAGAATCAGATTGTATTGTTTGATTGATCACAAGAAGGAATGGCTACAAAATAGGCTTAATTTCGAGAGGCAGCCATCTCTCCAAAATGCTATAGAAAACTAATAAATTGTGATTATTCTCCTTGCCTCCTAATGACCCCTCCCCCTTTTATTATAACATACTGATAATTAAAAAGCTAATTTACCCACCCACCCCCCAAAAAAAAGGAAAAAGAAACTTATTCAAAAGTTCAATTATCTTTTACTCCTTGTGATCTACGCTTATATGTTTTCCAGCCCTTATCATCTTCCCATGCTTGCCAAGCTTAGTTATTCAACTTGTGTGACACCTGAGTCGACTAGCATATCAAGTTGATTTAGGTTCAATCGAGTAGGTTTGCATGTGGAGTCAACAAATGAGTGGCTCATGCCTTCCAAATTCATGGATATCAACCAAACAGATAGAGAAATTTGGCTAACAGGAAACGTATCTAGAAAACTCGCATTTCTACAGGTAACACAAGTGAAAGAAATTTTGCAATGATATATTTACTGCAGAGTATACCTTCTCCGTCAAGTCAAGTGCTCCACTTATGATGGTAGTCTCATCGTGTGTAAGCTCACCCCCTTTACCAGCCTATAATGTTTTTAGAGAAAAACAACAAAAAAGAGAGTACAAGTTATAGTAAAACAAACAAACTGAAATAGGATAGTATGTCCACTATCTGCATAAGAACTTCCTTAGTGTTGAGCTAAATGCATTGGATTTTAATGAACTGCAACCGTATCTCATGGTTGTGTGTGGATATAGGCATATGGCAATTGTTAACTTTACACCACAAACGACCAATCAGGAAGGTTTACCTCTTGGCCATGAATGGAGACAAGGGCTTTCAACTGGGCACGCCGAAACAGGGCATCATTATGCCCAATTAAAACATCTAAAACCTGCAAATATGTCAACCCTAATATAAATGTTGGCATGCCTTTTCTGCAGAAGTTATAGAAATTTCAAAAGGTAAAAACCAAACGGCCCCGGTATATCTCACAAAGAGGTAAGGTCTGGGGGTAGGATGTATGCAGACCTTGCCTCTACCTCATAGGACAGAGAGGTAAAGAAAGACAAGCTAAGTAACTATTAAAGCCACTTACACAAAATTACCTTTCCAACAGGATAAGCAATAGGATAGCAAATGATCATCAAAACTCGGACAAGCCCCACAAAATTAGCACCCACAGCAAGCCCATATCTTGTTGATATTGCTTGTGGTATTACCTGGTATAATATGATACTTTTAGTCTTGATCATGTAAAATATCTTACTAAAGCAATAAGGATCCGATAAATACCTCTCCAAAAATCAGCACAAAGGTCACAGACAACACCACTGCAACTGCCGGATGAAAAATCTTATCCAGGTAAATAGGAAGAGCCTGCAGGGAATTAGAATGGTAACTCAGTTAGGTGCTGTTTGCTTTCTAGAATGCTGAAGTCCGGAAGCCTTATTCACTTCTTTTATATTGATAAGAGGTGGTGCTGAATTCCGAAATCATAATCGATAAGACTGCTTGTCTTGTAAACTCATAAATGTCTGAATGTGTGTAGTTCTCTATTTTACTCCTCATGCTAGTATTAATATAGAGAGGTATAGACATATAGCATCGCAATACATGTGAAGCCTATATGTTGTACATTCGATAACTAAGTTCACGGTTCAGATTACTATTTGCCCAACCTGTAGTATGACATGTAAAATAAAAAATTCTATCGTGTCTAATTACATTTTAAATTTAGGAACTTCCTCCTTTTCTTACTGATAGGAATCTTATATTTGGAACTTGCTTGCTATAGTAATTATTATCAATGGACACAACAGGTGTCAGGCTGTAAGCATTTTCAATGGAAACCAAATAATAAATTTTGCCAATGAAATTACCATGTTATGCATTAGATCTTTCAACCAACATACTCATTGTTCCTGTCGTTCAAGTTTCATAACCAATTAAGCACCAGAATAAAAATAATTATCCTTTCTTTAAAATGTGTGCCAAGATTATGTAGTCTTTGTACAGAGGAGAATAGTCTAAGCATGAACACTAATGCATACACAAGAGAACAGTCAGATATATGCAAGTTACAATGTCAGAACTCATTTCCAAATTTCATGTTTATATAAAAGTGTACAGTACTTACCATAAAATAACCAAAAGTAATAACTTATGCAAATCAAATCATCAAATACATGAACATAAACTATTAACATTTTCCTTTCACTATAAAATATCCCAAAGTTAGAGTCAATTACACCGATTACATGATAATCAATTCCAGGTCATAAAAAAGCTAAAAGGATACTAAACAACAAAATAAACAAAGCTATTCCATCACTGGACAAGCTAAAATCATTCACTCATGGAAGTGCAGTGTCAAAGGGCATCGGGTGCATATGCAGAGGTATTTGTGAAATCATGATATTTGATACATGGATCATGGATACCAACTATTGTCCATGCTACCATATGACATAAATTCAGTTCAAACTTGTTATCAACATAGAGAATAAGCATTAGCTGTAAACCCACCTCCATTGCTGCAGCATTACAAAGAAGCAATGTTACAAGAAGTTGGTGTTGCTTTTGCACAACTGGTAGGATAGCAGCTGCAAGAAAAGCAAATATTTGAATAAGAGTCATTTGTCGCAAGGTACTTCGAAAATGTCCAACCAAAAGAAGTAAATAATATTCTTATCATTAAAGAAAAATATTTTGTGAAATAAAGTAACATAGTACGGAAAACAATCAGTTTACCCCTTGTAGGAAATCCCTGCATACATCCTACCCCGACCCTACACTTGCCTGGGACATACTGAATTCGTTTTGTATGATAAACACGAGTAACATAGTGATCGTATGGATTGCAAGTTTGAGTTGTAATGATCAGTTCTTGAACGTCTCTTGCATGCAAAACAACTAAACAAGTTTGGGCTATCAAATTCAGAGGTTATGAGCAAGACATAAAGCTCATTTGCTATGAATTTTTAACTGAGTTATTCAAGTTCTAATCTCCCTGCATCTACAATTCCCATACCAACAACCAATCCCAAAAAAAGGCGGCATTCAAGTTTTCATCATCTGCATATCGAATTGAAAGCTTCTCATATGGCTAAACTATAGAGAATTTATAAACGCCTATAATTTACCCTCAAGAAATCAAAAAATCAAGGTCCACCTACCACATAAAACGAGTTAGGTATACTTGCTATAACAAATATCCTAATAACGGATCATGCAAAATTATCCACAGTTTAATCAATAGTCATAGACGAAAACGATCAATGCAAAAATTTCTACCTGCTTGCTTCTTCTCTCTGTTCGTACCACTCCTCTGAAGAATCTCGAGCTCAACAACTCCAAGAGACATCAATCCCAAAGTGAGACCTGACATGATTCCGGCGAAGAGTACAAGAAGGCAGGAAACTCCGGCATAAACAAACCACCAAATATTACCGAATTCAATATCGTTTGGATCCGTTACATAAGACTTCCTTGAAGCTCCGGCACCAGCGGCTAGCGCTAGGGTTAGTATATTCAACATTTTGTACTTAATTTCAGCGTGAATCAAACTATTACACAGCGTGATTTTGGATTGCAATTCTGATGTTCTTCTTCTTCTGTAGTAGAGTGAGCAGAGCGAAAGCGGTTGAAGAAGAAGAGACAAAGAGATGACCTCTGTGTTGAGAAATGAAAGCAACACATGGCTCCGTAGTCCGTACCCCACCTTCTCAAACCCCAACCGCAAAACGCGGGCTGGGCCCCACTCACGGGCTTTTGAAAGATTTATATTACGCGGTTAAAAATGGTTATTACAAGTAATTTGTTTTTTTAGTAAATTATAATTTGAATGGTTTGATGCAGAATGATTAAGTGGTCAAAATGATTATAGTATAAAATAAAATATAATTTTTTAATAATTGTTTATAATAAAATTATGGTGCTGAATGTTTAAAGGAGGCTAAAGATGCAAAATCATTTGAAGGATTTTAAAACCATTAAAAACAATTTCTTTTTGTCAAACAAGATTCATCTTTTAACGATTCAGATATTGCCTCTTACTTGAATTATTAAGAGATAAACAAATAACACCTTAATGAAATTTTTGAAAGCGGGACATGAACTTTGATAAGTCTAAAAATCGTTCTTGTTGTTCTCATTTTATTAAGAGGCAGGGATCTTTTCGTCCAACCATGTTTTGTCCCCTTTTTTACACTTTTTTTCTTATTTATATAAAACCATCACGATAATTAACTCTAATATAAATCACAGGACGAATATGTCGTACACCTCTGATCAAACTCCCATTGCCACCTCGTCGATATAACTCACCATCTCGGCCAAACACCCTTCCCTTCTGCACCTCTGGCGACCTGCATAGCTTCCCCAATTCCCTACAGATCACCAAGAACTAAGGTTCCTTATTCTAAAGGATGTTAAAAAATTTCGTTAAAATCATACTATAAGTTAAGGGTTGTGTGAGTAAAAATGTTTAGATCATTACAATTTTATAGAGAATATTACAATATTTATATACTACATTCTGTCCTAAAAAAAAATACCAATGAAAATCGTTCTTGATGTCTCGTCAAATCGTCGTTGATATGTCAAATTATTGTGATTTCATATATATAAGATATAATATTATAATATATGATTTTTGTTCCCCAAATGGTATACATGTGGGACCCATCCGTACCTTATAGTCAAAATCGCTCTAAAATAGTTGGAAGACGATTTTTATGGTCATTTTGTGAAAAATCGTTGAAAATTGGTCATTTTATTAATATACCATGTATAAAATAGTCATTTTGGGTAATTTCTTATGTACAGTTTTCATTAATAAAAAAATAATTAAATAATATTTTATGTTTTTGCATATTTTATTTATTATAACAAATAAAATAAAAAATATATAATATTTATCTTATTTAATTATTATTTTTTTTGTAAACCGTGTTTTTCCGCCATAATCTTCTAGTAGATACGATATCCCACTTGTAATAAAAAAATATAGAATTAAAAATATATAATATAATTGGGATGTTGACATCATGTAAGACGCATGAGGAGTGAGGACTTGGACCATATCAGACGGTGACGGTAACGATAACGGTGACGGTGAGCAGGGTAGGTGAAGGTAAACCCGGGTTGGTGGGAAATTTTAAATTTTATTTACTAATAGCCCCTTTACATTTATATATTTACAATTTAGACCCTACAGTTTGGAGATTGTATTTGTATCAAGGAGACAATTTTTACCAAGGAGTCGTTTATCAATGGTATCTGAGTAAAAGTGATCATCTTTACTTAGCTTAATGAATAAGATTTTCGGTTATCATAATGACACTGTAAGATTGTTGGCAAGAGTCATCATGTTCACTTCCCAAATAAGTCTGGTCATTGTCATACATTTTACTAGGTAAAATGACTGTATTAGAATGATTAAGAGACTCTCATGATATAGTGCAAAATGAAATATAATTGTTCACAATGGAATGAGGGCGCTAAATGGTTAAGAGATGCTCAAGATACAAAATCATTCAGAGAGTTCTAGAACCATTAAGAGACATATATTTTTTTGCCAGATAATATTCACCTCTTACCGATTCAGATGATGCATCTTAATGGAACTATTAAGAAGTAAAAAACACCCCTTAATAAGTTCATGGTTTAAATGTGAAAATATTTAAAGAAAACATTGCATGCAATTCGTACTTTTACGTAAAAAAAACTTCTTACAACTGAAAGCACTTTCGACAAACATGATATGCAATTACTGAACATTATTGTAACTTTTATGAATGGTGGGAAATTCCCGCTTCTCTAATAATTCAACTTCGTACAGAGACGCTTGGACATGTACCAGTCCTTGCCAAAGCTAAGTGTTTGTCCCGACTTAGGGGTCGTTTACCTAAATGCTTACTCAACAAATACTTACCATTAGAAGTCAACACTATAATTTATTTTATCAGATAAGATTGTAGTACATTAAAATGGTATCGTATGGAAAAATTTACTCGATAAACACTTACTCGGGTAAGAGTCGTCACCCTCACTTACCGAACAAGACTCTCTACCTTTATCATTGCTCTTGTCGGGTAAGATTTTTGACCTTTGTTATGTTCATCAGATAAAGAAATTTACCCGGTAAACACTTACCAGGTAAGCGTTTTGTAAACGGTCCCTTGTTAACACTAAATTGATGTCTCAAAATTTGTATTTTTGCACAAATGTTGGACAACTTTTCATACCAGTAACATGTTAGTCAATTAAATGTTCCATGTGTCCAAAAATAAACGTCGACAATGAAAAATATGCATAGTCTTAGGAATATGTGATCATTACACTTTTTAATAATTAAAAAAAAAAACAATTTTAGCTTTAGCTATAAACAAAAAATTTGACCATCTCATAATTAAGGGTACAATGGGAAAGTAGATTTTTACTTTCGAAAGTGAACATTTATTTTGGAACATAGTGGTTCAAAACACATAACAAGTGTACATCGTTTAGGAGAACACATGAAAACACACCTTGTATGCTGAATGAAATAGAAATTGAGCTGATTGTGCACGTTACTACTGAACGAGAGGAGATATATTCAACCTTGGGTGCGAGCTCTCCATAAGGTCGCTTTCAACCTTGCGTTAATCAAGGTTGATCTCACCCATGGTTTAACGTTGATGTTGAAGGCAAGTTTGAGCTCGCGTTTAAACCCGCTGGGCAGAGGGGGACTGCTAAGCGAGATCCCAACATCGCCCCTCCTTCTGGACATGCGGAAGTGAGCGCAAAGTTGAGGAACTCGCTTTCGAGCACAACCGGCTATGGTTTATACCAGTCCACACTTCATATTAATCCTAAAATTGAGGTGTTACAATCAAGATTTAAATGTTAAAAATGAAACGAAGATTTAATTTGATGTTGGATTTGATTCAAATATATTTAATTCGATTTTAGATTTAAATCACACATATTTTGTCAAATAATAAAAATAAGATCAAACAGATAAGACTAAAAAACTTAGAGTCCATCTTGTCGTTTTCAACTTTACCTACCAAATCTGGACATATCTAGATTTAACCTACATTGACGAAACTTTATAATACCGAAATAGCTGACTTTTTTTTTTGTTATAAGCATTTAAGGAAACGTTTAAATAAAATCGAGCATGTATGAATAAATGATGGGAAAAGTTAAAAAAATCGGACAAATTTTCTCATTTTGAATGATTTAGTCTATAAACTATTTTTTGAATGATAAAAACATTAAACTATTTCATTTTAAACGATCAAGTCTTCAAACTATTTTTTGAATGAAAAAACCATTAAACTTTCACATATTGAATGATTAAAACCCTGATTTAAAAAAAAAACAAATAAAACATCGAACTTTATTAGGCTCTTAATTTACCTTTTTATGAATTAAAAAATGCAGTTAGCTAATTTTTAAAAGTGTGATGATTTATTTGTTAAAAAATATTTAAGGACTTAAGGGTTTTTTGTTTACCTCTTAATAGTTTCATTAAGATGCAGTCTATAAATCGTTAAGAAGTGAATATTGTTTGACAAAAAAAAAAGGTTGTCTCTTAATGGTTCTAAAACTCTTTGAATGTTTTTGTATCATGGATCCCCTTTAACCATTCAACGCCCTAATTTCATTGTAAACACTTACCAAACAATTATATTTCATTTTTATATTGTATCATGAGAGACTCTTAATCATTTTCTATTAAACTATTCAACAACTATCAAACAAACACCTAATCAATAAGGAAAAGGAAGTTTAATGAATTTTTTATTAAAAAATTATTCAAATCATTTATGAGAAGAAGGGGCTGTTTGGTAATTGCTGAATGGTTTGGTGCAGAATGGTTAAGTGGTCAGAATGGTCAAGAGGGTCAGAATGGTTAAGTACTGAATGAAATATGGTTGTTTGGTAAATATTCTCTGAATGACAACAAATTACTATTTTACCCCTCTATATGATTTAATCCAAACCAAGGTTCTGTTAGCATCCAAAATGAACGGCGACGGTAGTTTCAATCCGTCAGAATGATCGGCGATGATTTCATACAGAAAATGAACGGCGACGGTAGTTTCGATCGGCGACAGTGCTTCTTTAATGTTTTTAGCCTTGATTCAACATGAGATTTCATACAAGAAATTAGGGCTTCGATCGGTGACTGTGGTTTCAATCGGTGACTGTGGTTTCAATCGGTGACTGTGGTTTCGATCGGCGATAATTTCATACAGAAAATGAACGGCGACGGTGGTTTCGATCGGCGACTGTGGTTTCGATCGGTGGTTTCGACCAGAAAATGAACGGCGACTGTGGAGA